CGCTTGCCCCAAGGTGCCAACACCCCGGAGCTTCCATCCCCAATCCACACCGCATCGCCTACGCGACACAGCTCACACCACATCGCTCCCACCACGTAGTTGACACGGCACAGCTTGCACCACACACGCCTCTCACCGGATGGGGCCCACCCTGGCTAACATGTGCGTGTGTGTAAACGTTGTCTTGTTTTGCTCGGCTCTTCTCCCATTCAGTCCACCCATCTGCTACGTCGGGTGGTAATTCGCCTGAGCGTGTCAACCTTGTCCTGGCTTCGCGCTCGCGATGTTAGCCACTTCGCCGCTGCAGGAAAACCGGGGGCGGTCCAACGGGTGTCAGGAGCGAAAGAAGGACGTACACGTACATGAATCCACGCTGGTTTCGAGAGTACGCATCGCCCGAAGGTTCGTATCACGCGGCCGGTCTCGCAGATCGAGGGGCCGTGGTCATGTACATAGCTGGGCGCGTACGTCCTTTGTGGGCTCCCTAGGGTGTGATGGTTTAGGGGGGGTATCGTGGCCGGGGCCACGATCTTTTCCTGGATGCCATGGCCCCTTCTTTTCATGTCGCGGCGCAACCGGGCCTGGGGGTGTCGGGGGCCACGCCCTCGAGCGCAAATGTGTGTCCCGGGGCCCCGGGGCGCGCCTGCGGGCCGCCGCAGATGGCGCGCGACGGCCCTCACAGAGCCCTCTGGGCGGCTCGTGACAGGCCCGAGCCACCCCCAAGACGGCCTCCAGGGCCTCTGACGGTGCCACCGAGCTTCTGGACGCCTCCTGAGGCGCTCCAGACAGCCCTGGAGAGCTCCAGCAAGAACAGCCACAACAAAGAGAAGCGTACAGTCACACTTAAAGATAGAGAGAGAGGGGGAGAGAGGGAAGGAGAGAGAAAGGGTGAAATAAGGAGGGGGAGAGAGAGAGAGAGAAGAGAGAGAGAGACAGGACATAATGATGGAAGAGACAGATATAGAGATAGAGATGGGTGGGGAAAGGAGAGAGTGAGAAAGAGGGAGAGAGAAAGAGAGGAAGATAGAGAGAGACGGAGAGAGACCGGCGGGGAGGAGTTCCTCTTGGTGCACGCCGCCAGCGAGCGTGCCTTGCGGGCGCAGAGATTCAACACTTGGCCCGGCGACAAGCTGAAAAACGGCAAGTCGTCATGGAACGGGGCGCCTTTCTCGAACAAGAGCGAGACGGCCGAATTCCAGCTCTCGCCGCTCTCGGACGCGTCGCGCTTCCAGTGGAGCACCAAGGGGGACACAATCCACCTCGTCGGGAGTCCGCGGCTTGGTCTTGAAGCGACGTTCCGCGAGTTCGACTGCTCGGGTAATCGTGTCATGCTGTGGGGGCCGCTGCACTACGACGTGAGCTGGTACTGCAAATTCAAAGGTGGGACGAGAGAATCACTAATTCAAAACAGACGCCTAATCCCGGAAACGCGAGGGGTCAAAGCAAAACGCAGGCTCTTCGAGACTTCGGGGAGGGAGACTTCAGGGAAGGGTTTTTTCAGGGGGACATCGACGAACGCAAACCGTACCCCGAAGTCTTTGACCGTTTTTCGAATCCTCGGTGAATCCATGATTTTGGGATTGGGAATGTATTTTTCTTGGTCAGGGAAGGCAGGATGGAAGGAAGGAGGAGAAGGAAGTAAAAGAGCTGGCAGGCAACAGCGACGGCACCATCTCACCGAAGAGCACGTCCACCGACCTGGTCCTTGGTTTCGGAAAGTGCCTCCAGAAGAAGCAAATGCCTCCAGAATTAGCCGTCGGCGACCGCGATCAGTGCATCCTCGTGCCCCACAGCGACCCACGGCGGCTGGTGGTCAGGCGTGGCAGCCACGCCGCCGCGGCGCCATCGGCGCCCAGTGCTGGTTTGGGCAGCACCCCACTGAACGCGGATTACTTCTCTTTCGAGATCGGTGGGGACCCCAGCCAGATCGTGGACCGTTTCCGAGCAGCCCAGGTTGGCGACAAAGTGACGTTCTTTCGAAACCAGAAGAAGCCTGGGCCCGGCGCGCAGCCAGGATCCGTTGCCTGTGAAAGCTACACCATACGGGGCAACACCCTCAGCGGAGCGGTGTCCGCAACCTTGCTGCCCAATGGAGACATCACGTGGAGCCACGGGTACATCTCCAGGCTCGGACGACGCCAGCTGACCGCGTCACGATCTTGGCCGGCCCCATCCTGGGCTCAGGAGGTGTGCCCTCGATCGTTTAACGGGCTCATCGACCCTCGCCCGTTAAACGATCGAGGGTCGATGATCGGAGGTCGAGGGTCGGCTTTTAGACGCTTCTGCTTACCCTTTTTCTGGGCCTCTGGGAGGCTTCTCGTCGCTCCTGGGCCGGCCCCAGCCAGGATGGCCCACGGCGGGCCCAGGATGGTCCCAGTCAGGGTCGGCGCGGCGGCCCTGGGCCTCCCAGACGGGGTCGGAGTGGATGGGGTCGGAGGATCGCGCCGCATCGGCGATGCATCCGCGATGCGGCCCGACGTGGAGCCCGATGTGGGCTGAGGCATCGCTGATGCATCGGCAATGCATCGCCGATGCAGTGGCGATGCGGTGCGGTCCTCCGGCCCCCGTCTGCTCGGAGCCCCTCCAGGAGGCCTCTTAGTGGTCAGTTGACGTCGCCAGACAGGCCCATCGCGAACGCTGCCGCTGCCTCTGCGGCGGGGCCGCCCGCTGTGGCCGAAAGCTCAGGGCCCTCCGTCACGGGCAGGGGTGGACGGTGGCTGGAGTACACAGACATCGACATTCGGGGGCGACCAAGAGGGGTTGATGACCAGGGGGGGGGGATATCCTGGCGTGGCCATGGTATGTCCTGAGACTTCATGGTGCCTCCTCTTATGTCGTTACGTACCCGGCCCTGGGGCCGCGCACATGCCGCGGGCCATGATTTGCACCCCCCTTTCTTGGACGTCCCCCTCTTGGACGCCCCCGAGACATGTGCGGGCAGGGAGACGCCGAGATCATCCGAAATTGGCGGTCCCACACAACGCTCGAGAATTTGAAGAGAACCGTAGAGCTGAAGGGGTACTCGGCCATCACGGTCAGCAACGGGCACCCCAGCTTCGGGCATGCAGCTCTCAAGAAGTTCCCTTACCAGCTCAAGAAGGAGCACTGCAAGCCGATATCGACTTGTTGCAGGCACCCGTGCAAGCTTTACATTTATGATTCTACCAGCGAGTCGGCCGCCTCCGCCTCCGCCGCGCAACCGGCGCCTGCCGCGGAGGCCGCCGCCGCCGCGGCGGCGCAGCCGGCTCCGAGTGAACAGCAAGGGATGGAGACCGTTGCTCCCCAGACCTCTACAGGGGTACGTTCTGACCAGATCCAGGCCTCCCAGATGGGCTCCGAGCAGATGGGGTCGGAGCCGATGAGGCTCGATGCGGAGCCCGATGTTCTCCACGCCGACGGCGCCAGTGCGTCGCCGACGTCGGCGATGCACTGGCGATGTGGCGCGATTCTCCGACCCCATCTAGTCGGACCCAATTTGGGAGGCTTCTAACTTCCAAGAGAATCCGGCCGTGGCGACTAGGGCTCTCCAGGGCGAGTACAGTGGAGACCCATGCCAAGAAACAGCCTGCTTGCCTTTAGGGTGCCTTGGGTTTTGTTGGGCATCGATGGTTTTGCCATGGAAAGCGTGACCTTTCCACACCTAGAGTCAGTGGACGTCCTGGGGTCCCATGGTTGGGTTTCTTGTGGAAGGTTTCTTGTGGACTGGCCTCCACTGTAGGTTTCTTGTGGAAGGTTTCTTGTAAAAGGTTTCTTGTGGCGGCACCGCTATCGCTTCCTCCTCCGAGGCTCCCCGCAAGGCCGCAGCCACGAAGTCCAAGAAGGGCACCCCCGCCGCCGCGCCGGCGCCCGCCGCGGAGGCCGCCGCGGAGCAGCCGCCTCCCGAGAAGGCCGCGGGCACCAGCCCTGAGGTCCGACGGCGCGGACAAGAAACGTACGGGTTCGGGCGAGGGGGTCCTTTGCAAAAGGGGGTGTCAAGAGTGTGCGCACGTAGTTCGTGCAATCGTGCGTGCGGGATGCGCCCGTCGCACGGTATCAGCACGTGGCTACAGCGCGCCATGCGCCACACGATGAACTATTGCATGTCATCTTTGCGACCCCGTTGCGAAATGCCCCCTGTCAAAACGTGATGCATCGTACAGTGTACAGTGGGGACCCATGCCAAGAAACGCCCTGCTCGCCTCCAGGGGCCCTGGGTTTCTTGGGTTTCAATGGTTTTGCGGTGGAAAGCGTGACCTTTCCACACCAAGAGTCAATGGACGTCCTGGGGTCTCAGGGTTGGGCTTTCTTGTGGAAGGTTTCCTGTGGTCGGTGGCTGCCGTCCGGGCTTGCGTTTCCCATAATTCAACAATTTGAAAAGGGCGAATTTTGGGAAACGCGATCCTGGACCACTGCCCCCGGCACAAATTCCACGGGAAACGCGATTTCCCCAGAATTCGAATTCTGAGTTATGGGGAACGCAAGTTGCGTACCAAAAACAGCATTCAATGAGCCACAATCGCGTTTGCCATGATTTTCAATCATGGGAAACACAATCCTGGACGACTGCCGTGGCCGGGCGGGCAAGAACTCTGACCCAGCGTGCCGCTCCGCCGATCCTGGCCCGCCGCGCTTCGGCGCCACGCGCTCTCCGCCTGCTGGCCCCCGGGCAGCCACGCCCCGAGCCCTCCTCCGCCTCCTCCTCCTCCGCCTCCTCCTCCCCTCCTCCTCCTCCTCCTCCTCCTCCTCGTCCTCCTCCTCCTCCTCCTCCGCCTCCTCCTCCGCCTCCTCCTCCTCCCGCGCCTCCCGCGCCTCCCGCCCCGCGGAGCGGCCCGACACGCCCTCCGCCTGCAGGGCACCGCGTGCCGTCGGGGCTGCCGCTGCGGCACGCCGAGCACGAGCTCCTGCGCGCCGCTCCTCGAGCCGGCTCGGCCCGCGAGGGCCCGCGAGGGCCCGAAGCCGAACGGGGCGGAGGCGGCTCGAAGAACCGAGACGCCGGAAGGCCAGGGGCACCCCCGCTGGCGCTGCCGCGCCGCCCGCGGCGCCCGCCGTCCCCGCTGCCGCCGCCGCGCCGCCGGCTGCCCCTGGCGGCCCAGTGCCCGCGGTGGCCGCGGTCAGGGCCCCGACAGGAGCCGCTCGGGCGCGCCGCGGGTCCCGAAGGGCTTGACGACTTTTCGCCAATCGACTCGTGGGGATGGAGCCGCAGAGAAGGTAAGGTCAAATAAGATCAAGGTCAAGGTCAAGGTAAGGTCAAGGTCAAGGTCAAGGTCAAGGTCAGGAGCCAGGTAAGTGCAAATAAGGTCAAGGTCAAGGTCAAAGTCAAGCCTGCATGCCTGTCGAGGTAGATCCAGGCTATAATCTTGGTGAATCCTCGTAAATCCAGGGATCTCCAGAGAAAGTTGGAGCAAATCGCGACCGCTCCAGCGCGAGTCGGGGGACGTCAGACGTCGTCAAGCCCTTGACGATCGAGAGCGCGGGCCTGGCGAGAGAGGCCTCTCTAGGCTTCAGGCCTCCCAGCCCAGGCATCGGGCGCCTCGAAGCAATCGGGGCGGAGGGCTCTCGTCGTGGTTGGCCTCTCGGGGCCCCCGCCGGGCCTCGGGGCCGTCGAGAGGCGCCGCGGGGTGAAGAAGAAATGGTCCCGGGGAGGTGGTCGGGAGGTCGGGAGCGGGCCCGCGCCTCGAGAAGCTCGAGACGTCGGCTGTCCTGGGAGGTGGGGTCGGAGTGTGGTAAGCGGTCAGGACATGTTGGCCCCAGACCTCCAACGCACTGACGAAAATCAAGACGGAGGTATTTCATCGGTACCAGTACAGATACGGGTGCTCGTCCTGAGAGGAGAACGAGGTACCGGTTCCGCTGGTCGTCCTGGAGAGTCATCGTCACCACGGCTGGATTATCCGCGAACGTGTGCCCCGAGGCCGCGCAGACACGATCCAGGGAAAAAATCGGCTCCCGAGAAAGAACGGCCCTGGCGAAGGACCCAACCATATGCAGTTGTGAGGACCGCCGTTCTGAGAGCCGCCCTAGGTGGAGCTCCCTACGGGGCCACGACATGCGTGAAAGGAGCGCCGTAATGGGGCGGGGCCGCCATGCGGGTGCTGCCGCTGGGGCCGCTTGCAGGGGGTACGGAGGTCAGACGAAACGGATTGCATGCTGATGTAGCTCGTTGCGGCTGACAAGCACCGGGCGAAGCGGCAGAAGGCATGACGACGCAGCGATTGGGGCCTTAGGTGGAGCTCCCTATGGGGCTTCGAAACGTGTGAGGGGGGTGGCAAAGTTCGCGGGGTTGCGGCATGCGAACGCAGCCATTGGGGCCATCGGTGGAACTCCCTATGGGGCCGCGAAAGGCGTGAGGGGTGTGCCAAATTGAAGAGGGTGGGGGGTGGCGGCATGTGAACACAGCCAATGGGGCCTTACGTAGGTGGAGCTCCCTGTGGCACAGATCGCGTGAGGGGTGTGCCAACGGTGAGGGGGGGGGCGGCATGCGAACGCAGCCACTGGGGCCTTCGGTGGAACTCCCTGTGGTGGCGCGTGATGGGTGTACGAAAGTGGTGTTGGGGGGGGGGGGGGCGGCATGCGAGCGCAGCCACGGGGGTATTCGGTGGAGCTCCCTATGGGGCCTAGTCTCTATGGGGCCACGAAACGTGTGAGGGGTGTGCCAAGTGCGGATGGCAGAGGCAAGTATGGGAAGGAAGAGGGAGGAGGGAGGAAGGGGACAGGAGGAGGGAGGACGAGGAGGGAGGAGGAAGAGGAGGAGGAGGAGGAGGGATGAGGGGAGCGGGGGAGGGAGGATGGGAGGAGGGAGGAGGGGGAGGAAGAGAATAGGAGGGGAGAGGAACGTGGGGCGCTGCCTCTTCAAAACGAAGATTCGACTCCACAGCATGGTCGGGATAACCACAAGGCTGAGGTTTTGTATCGTTGTCGGCGCCATGGGAGCCCTCGCCGGGCCCCGAGGCCGCCAAAACGCGATCCACCGGGCAAAAGACGCCTCCGGGGGAAGTGCTCCGGGGCTCCGGGAGCCCCGTGTTGAAAAACTGAGGCGTCGGAGGTCTGGGACATCGGCGCAAGGGAGGTCCCTATCGGGGACAGCCTGTCCTGGAGGGGCTCCTGGTCTCAGGGCCAACGAAAGAGGGGATAGGCTCGGGTCGGGCCGGACGAAAGGGTAGGATGAGGAAAGGGTTTCCGCGTGCAGCTGGTTTCCGCCCCGCCGCCAGACCCATTCCTCGATGCATGGGCGCCTCCTGGCGCAAGGAGGCGCCAAGAAAACCAGCTATGTGAACTGATTCTCGACCCCACCCTTTGTTATCCTACCCTTGCGTACCCTCCGATCGGGGCGGGATGCATCCGACCCCAATGGCCCAGTGATTTGCCGAGAAGCGCCCGATAGCCGACCCCGCCCAGGAACGCCAGGATTTGCGCGATCGGGGGCATCTGGCCGACCTATCGGCGAGGTATCGCCGATTCCAGGTCGGTGCTTCCCCCCTGAGCCGGCCCCCCCTAGCGCTGCCCCTCATTTCCGGAGGGGTTCCTGGGCGCGCGCGCGTGACGAGGGTGAGATCGGGGACGGCCAAGAGGGGGGTGATGATTCGGGGTGTGTGGATATCATGGCGTGGGCCATGACATCTCATGGCGTCTCTTCTTATTTCGTTACTTCCCCCGCCCACCCCCCTGGGCCGCGCATATGCCGCCGGCCATGATTTGCGCCCCCCATTCTTGGACGCCCCCCTCTTAGCCGCCCCCGATGAGAGGTTTGACTCGAGGCACTCGCGAAGCTCGCCCTCCCAGGGTCCGAGGCAGGGATGTATCCATAACCACCGCCTGGGGGATCCATCGTCGCGGGCCTCCACAGGTGGTGGATCTGGATATCTTCGGGCCCCTGGGGGCCAATACTATATATATATATATATACACACATGGTTCATTTCTAAGTATTCGAGAGTTCTTTGATTTTTTGGAGGCCCAAGATCCTTTCCCTTGTAATTGTTATATCCTGGGCCTCTTCCTGGCCACAGGGGGCCAGGAACAATTAGAAACGAGCACAATTAGAAATGAGCACGATGAGAAACGAGTGACGTGTATATATTCATACACACATACGTACAAACATACATGCATGCATACATTCATACATGCATACATACATACGCACATACATGCATGCAGGCATGCAGGCATACACACATACACACATATATGTATATTTAAACATACATATATAGTGAGAGATATATCCATATCCATATCCACCGCCCGCTGGGGCACCAAGACGTCGACGCCAGGCGGTGGGCATCTGGATAGATCCCCGCCTCGCACAGGGTGCCTCGGCCCTCCGTCGGGGGTGCGGGTGCGCTCTCCTGCCGTCACGGGGGGCGCAGGAGCGCCCCCCGCCCCGTTTCCGCCCATGGGTGCCGTCGCTGCTCGCCAGGCCATGCCCAGCGCATGCAGAGGAAGTGGAGACGTGGAGGAGGAAGGAAAGGGGGAAGGAGGGGGAGGTTCAGAAGGAGCAGGCGGAGAAGGAGGAGGAGGAGGAGGAGGAGGAGGAGGAGGAGGAGGGGGGGGGAGGAGGAGGGGGAGGGGGAGGGGGAGGAGAGGAGGAGGAGGAGGAGGAGGAGGAGGAGGAGGAGGAGGAGGCGGAGGAGGAGGAGGAGGAGAGGAGGAGGCGGAAGAGGAGTGAGGAGGGAGGAGGAGGGAGGAGGAGGAGGAGGAGGAGGAGGAGGAGGAGGAGGAGGAGGAGGGAGGAGGGAGGAGGAGGAGGAGGAGGAGGAGGAGGAGGATGAGAGGAGGAGGAGGAGGGAGGAGGAAGGAGGAGGAGGAGGAGGAGGAGGAGGAGGAGAGAGGAGGAGGAGGAGGAGGAGGAGGAGGAGGAGGGAGGAGGAGGAGGAGGAGGGAGGAGAGGAGGAGGAGGAGGAGGAGGAGGAGGAGGAGGAGGAGGAGGAGGAGAGGAGGAGGGAGGAGAGAGGAGGAGAGGAGGAGGAGGAGGAGGAGGAGGAGGAGGAGGGAGGAGGAGGAGGGAGGAGGGGAGAGGGAGGAGGGAGGAGGGAGGAGGGAGGGGAGGGAGGAGGGGAGGGAGAGGGAGGAGGGAGGAGGAGGAGGAGGAGGAGGAGGAGGAGGAGGAGAGGAGGAGGAGGAGGAGGAGGAGAGGAGAGGAGGAGGGAGGAGGAGGGAGGAGGAGGAGGAGGGAGGAGGGAGGAGGGAGGAGGGAGGGAGGAGGAGGAGGGAGAGGAGGGAGGAGGAGGAGGGAGGAGGAGGAGGAGGAGGAGGAGGAGGAGTGTAAGCAGAGGTGGAGGATCAGGAGGAGGAGGAGAAGGAGGATATCAGCACGGAGAAGAGGTGAGGAGGAGGAGGAATGAGAAGCGGAGGATGAGGAAGAGATGGCTGAAAGGAGGAGGAGGCGGAGAAGGAGGAGGAGGAGGAGGAGGAGGAGGAGGAGGAACGAGGGACGAGGAACGGAAAGGGGGAGGGTCAGGACGAAGAAGAGGCGGAGGAGCAGTTGGAGAAGGAGAGTGTCCTACTCCTCCTCCTCCTCCTCCTCCTCCTCCTCCTCCTCCTTCTCCTCCTTCCCCTCCTTGCTAAAATAAGACGCTGCAGTGCATAATGAAAAGGGGGGCGTAGCCAATACGCTGAAATATGGATCACTTGAGCTACATGAGGGGTTCTGGTTTTCGGGGCACTCCTTGGATCTAGCTCGAAGGCGTTATGGAGAACAAGTCTCCTCCCTCCTCCTCCCTCCTCCTCCTCCCTCCTCCCCCTTCTCCTCCTCCTACTCCGCCTCCTCCTTCACAGACATCCGTCGCCGTGATTTTTCCGCAACGCTGCTATGAGTCCAGGTGTTTCATCTCGAGCTGTTGTTTGACAGTCCCAGGGCCCAGCAAGGGCACTTGGAGGCCGAGGCCGCAGCTTTTGTTTGATCCACGACGCGAGGATGTCAGGGTCCCTCCCCGCCCCTCCTCCTGGAGCATGGTGCAGCTGGAGGCTCGGCAGGGGGGGGGATCGAGGAACACGGCATGCAAATGTATTTTCGTAGCTCCGCGCTGGTTGCTTGGATCGGCGCTGGCCCCCATCCCTGGCGCGCGGAGCGCGCCAGGGGCGGCGCCGGAGGCGCCGCCAGGGGGGGGGGGGGGGGCAGCGCAGATCCAAGAAATCCGCGCGGACCTCCGAACGTTTATATTTTATGTAAGTGCTCTGCCCTCCAAAGAGTACCCGCAGGGGTGGCCGATGCCTCTGGGCATCCCCCCCCCGCCACGAGAGGAGCGGAGCAGGAACGGGCCGAGGCGGACCTGCGCGCCGCGCTGGCGGCCTGCAAGAGCGGAGTGGTCCTGTTACCCTCCCTTTCGGCGCCTGCTTCTCTCCCTCCTCGAGTTCCTGCCCCCCCCCCTTCTCTTCTCCTCGTACCTGCTCCTCCTTCGCCGCCGCTTCCTCCTTCCCCCTATCCCCTGCTCGTGTTCCTCCTTCTCCTCCGTCGAGGAGCTGCGGGCCTTCGATTCCCTCCATGGGGCTGCCGCTGTCTCCTCCCTGTCGCACCCCGAGGCTGGTCGAGAGGGTGGGCCGGGCGTTTCGCCGGAGACTTCCTTATTGCCTATGACCCTCAAGTTTGACAGAGCTTCGCGCATGGAGGGTGGGTGGTTTTCAAGATATGGCTCTGGCCTGAACGCCGCGCGCAGGCGTCTCAAAAGTAGTCTGGAAGAGCTTCACGGTTGGAGGGCGGGTCGTTAAAACATGTGGCTCTCGCTTCAGCACTGCGCCAAGTCGTTCTGTGAGGTCGACAGCAGTTTCAAGGGCTCTCTTGGATTATCCCAGTGCGACTCTACCTAGGAGTGTTGCTGTGCTGTGCTGTGCTGCGCAATGCTATGCTCTGCTCTGCTATGCTATGCTATGCTGTGCTGTGCAATGCTGGGCTGGGCTAGGCTAGGCTAGGCTATGCTATGCTATGCTATGATATGCTGCGCTATGCTATGTTGCGCTATGCTATGCTATTGCATGCTATGCTATCGCATGCTATGCTATGTGATGCTATGCTTTTGCTATGACTTCGCTTTTGCCTTCGCGTTTGCCTTTGCTTTTGCTTTTGCTTGGCACCCAGGGAGCGCAACTGGGGGAACCGCGCGTTTGTTTTTACCTTTGATGTTGTTTTTGCTTGGCTCCCAGGGGACCGGGGGAACCGCCCGGGGCGGTTTCCACTGCCCGGCCCCTTTAAGCAAAGAAAGTAAGAACCCTTCTAGGCAGAGCCTAGGTAGGGAATAACTAGCATACAAAATATGTGTTCTCATGATATCGGGCTGCCAGGGCACAACAGTTATGTTGATTTTTGGTGTTGAAATCCCAGAAATGGTGTTCTGACACGATACAGGGTCGTCGAGACACAGGAGTAGCGGTGATTCGCGACGTTGAAGTCCCAGGGAAGGTTTTCTGGCACGGTTGAGGGTTTACAATCGGCTTTTTCCCAACGGAACAATCCCCCAAATCAAAGTGTTGCTTGTAGGTGCCTAAGAAGAGGGGACTCGGAGGGAGGCTTCATTGCAATATCATTGATGGGTCTTGGGTTTACATGGGTCCCCCTCCTCCTCCTTCTCCTCCTCCTCCTCCTCCTTCTCCTTCTAGTCAGCGGTGCTCTGCAGAGGACGGCGCTGGGCAGAGTTTCAGATAGTGGCATACAGTGGGTCTCCGAATCCTTGCGAATGCTCTGCAGCATTGCTTACGAAGTCAGGCTCGGTTGGTCGAGAGATCCGTTGGATTCCCAGAGTTCCAGTTCATTATAGTCCTCCTCCTCCTGTTTCCCTTCACGTGCACAATCGGTGGTATCTGTTCTTATCGATATCGTTTGACGTCCGCAGCTCATTTGTGTCAAAGGAGCGTTGCATGGTAGCGGAGCGTCGGTCTATCCGGCGCTCGCGCGCACCAGCCCCGGCCGCGCTCCCGCGCGGCCCGCCCTGCCCACGCCAGCCACGGCGTCGAGCGGCGATATCGGTGCTGCTGGCGTGTGGCTGCTGGTGACGGACGAGGCAGAGGCTTCGGTCAAGCAGACCGACGGGAGAGTGCAGCGCCGCTGGCGCCACGTGGTGGCGAAGGTGCTGAAGCAGAAGTTTCTCAAGGGCTTCTGGGCGGTGCTCGGTGAGTACCTCAACTACGTCAAGCGCAGGCAGCTGCAATGAATGAGCAGGAGAGGCAGGCCTTGGCTAGCCTGCAGTCCGCTGTGGAAGCGCTGAGGATCCAGAACGCCCAGCTGTCACAGCAGGCAGAGCAGATGCAGCAGCAGAACGTGCAGATCAGGACGGAGCTCGCTCGGCAGGTGCAGGCGCAGTGGGATCTACCACGTCTGGCCGAGCAGCTCGGCGACGCTGTGCAGAAGCTATCTGAAGAACGCAAGGAGAAGTCGTCTGCGCCGGCCTTCTCCCATGTAGACACCAAGGGGTTAGGCAAGCCCTCCATCTTCAAGAATGAGGAAGCCAAGTTCCTGGAGTGGTACCGCAAGACCAATGCGTACCTGACGGCGATCTTCGGAGAGCAGTTCCGCAAGTTGCTGGAGTGGGTGGAGGACCAGGCGCAGGAGACCACGGTGATCAGCATGGAGGTTCTGGAGGCGCGGTTCGGCAGCGACGATGATAACGAAGATGAGTTCATTCCGGACCTCCGCGAGAAGGTCAGCCAGCTGTACGTCGCACTCCAGACGCTGACCGAGGGTGAGAGCTTTGCCCTAGTGATGAACACTCCCAAGGGCAACGGCGCTGAGGCGATGAGGAAGCTCATCCGGCGCTGGGACCCAGCGTCAGGGGGCAAGCGCCGCGTTCTCTTGAAGCAGATCATGAACCCGCAGCGGTGCACCCTCAGCGACCTGTACGCGAAGCTCGAGGAATGGGAGGAGCTCATCCGCCGGTACGAGAGGAAGAAGGCAGATGGCATGGGCAAGGTGGTCGACGACGACGTGAAGGTCGCGGCCCTGGAGACCATGGTGCCGGAAGAGCTCGAACTCCACCTCGCGATGAACAAGCGTAGGCTAGACACGTCGGAGAAGGTCGTAGAGGAGATCCGGAGCTTCCTGGAGCCGAGACAGTCGCAAGGTGCCCTCCTTCGACGGAAGCGAGGTGACCCGATGGACGTTGACTCGCTGTACAAAGGAGGCAAGGGCAAGTCCAAAGGCAAGGGTGACAAGAACGGCAAGAAGGGCCAGACTCCCAAGCCGCGTGACAATCGGATGGTGCAATGCTGGCGTTGCAGTGGCTGGGGCCATACGTCGAATGAGTGCACAGCCCGCCTGCCTGGCGGGAAGACCGGCGACGGCAAGGGCGGCAAAGGCAAAGGTAAGGGCAAGGACACAGACAAGGACAAGTCCAAGGGCAAGAACCGCCGCTGGGACACCAACTCCTTCGAGCCCGGTGCCGCGTCAAGCTCGGGCCAGCCGGTGTGCGGAGACAACTGGGAGGACGGCAACAACAGCACGGTCACCAGCCTTCCGCCCTCAGCGAGCCAGGTGGGCTCCACGAACCTCGGCTCCTTCGAGCTGTGCGCGTTCGAGCTCAACAGCTTCGACGAGACCGTCGACGACCAGGAGTGGATCAGGTTCACGTTCGACTCGGGCGCGGCCGTGACCACCTTCCCTGAGAACACCAAGGGCGAGCGGCTCCCGGCCGATCCGAACGCGAGCTATCGGACGGCCAGCGGTGAGATCATAGCCGACTCGGGCGGGGCATGCATCCAAGGGCGATCCGAGTGGAGCGAGCCGATCAGACTGAAGGCGCGCTTGGCCAGCATCCACAAGCCGCTGGTCTCGGCCTCGCAGACTCACCGCACGGGTCGGGCCACCTGGCTGACAAAGGAGGGTGGCTACATCCTCCCGGCCGGCTCGGACATCGTGAACCGCGTCGACGCTCTCATCCGTGATGCTGCGTGGAGCGAGTCGGGCGTGGTGCCTCTGTACGTTGAGAAGGGCATCTACGCAGGCTACATCAAGAAGAACGAGGGAGGCCACGTCAGGAGAGTCTCGTTCGGCGACCACCGCGAGAGCTGGGACCTGTGCCCGGTCGACGGCGGGTCGCCAGTCCCTCACCGGCAGGCCTGGCCGCAAGGCCGGGAGGAGGCGGCGCTGTTGCTGGGAGCCCGGGCCCAGCGCCGTTCACGGACTTAGACGTGGGCCAGGAGGAGGAGCAGCAGGCGCCGGAAGTGGCACCCGCTCGCGTCGCGCGCCGTGGCAGGGCGCCGACGCAGGCCGAGCGGGAGCAGCACTTGGCATCCGGACACGCGGTCTACCGCTCGTGGTGCGAGGAGTGCGCGCGGGCAGCCGGCCTGGGCGCCCAGCACGCCCGGCGACCTGAGGATCGTGATGACGCCGACCCGGTCGTCAGCATGGACTTCGCCTTCATCGGGGAGAAGGTCCAGGACGTGGAGGACGACGGCTCCATCCCCATCTTAGTGGTGACGGACCGCAAGTACGGCATGAAGGGGGCGACCGCCGTCAAGGACAAGACCGCGTCCGACTTCGTGGTCAAGTGGCTCGTGGGCTTCTTGAAGCACCTCGGGCACCGCCGCGTCGTGCTCAAGTCCGACGGCGAGGCGAGCATCTGTGCGATCAAGAATGCAGTGATGGTTGGTGTGGGCCAGCATGTCGAGTGCATCCCGCAGGAGTCGCCCAAGGGCGAGCACAAGAGCAACGGCGAGGTCGAAGCCAGCGTGAAGGAGGTGAAGAAGGTCATCCGAGCGAACTTCTTCTCCATGCAGAAGTCTTTCGGCTTCGAGATCTCGCCCGGGCATCCCATCGTCAGGTGGCTGCCCCAGTTTGCCGCGGACTCCATCTCCAAGTTCAGGCTCGGCGTTGACGGCATGTCGGCCGAGCAGCGGAGGCGTGGCCGCCCCTGGAGGAAGTTCGCGGCGGAGTTCGGCGAGAGGGTGCACTATCGACCTCTCGGAGTCGGAGACGAGAGGAGTACGCTGGCCCCCAAGATGCTCGTGGGGCACTTCGTGGGCTACCACTCGCGGACAGGCGCGCTGCTCGTCATGACGCAGTCGGGTGTGGTGCGGGCCCAGGGCTTCAAGCGCCTACATCGAGCCCAGGCATGGTCACCGGAGGCGCCAGGGTCATGGGGCAGGCTTGCTGGACTGCCGTGGGAGGTTTCCCCCGCGGTGTTGCTCGCGCAGCCCGTGGGCCCGATCACCGTGACCAGAGACACGCAGGAGGACCACGACACCGTGGTCAGGAGGCGCTACGTACTCAAGAAGGACATCGAACGCTTCGGAGCCACTCCGGGGTGTCCAGGCTGCGCAGACCTCATGGCAAGGGGGTCGGCGCGGGTCGCGCACTCTCAAGAGTGCCGCGATCGCATCGAGGCCGAGCTGATGAAGGACTCGGCAGGCCAGCGGAGACTGGCGGAGCACCACTTGAGGGCGAGTGCTCGCGAGGCTCAGGCGGAGGAGAGCGCGGCGCAGCCGGCGCCCCAGCCTGGAGCGGCCGCAGCCAGCGGCGGAGGAGCCGCCGCGGCCAGCGGCGGGGGAGGCGCCGCGGCAGGACCCGGCGCGGACGTGGCCAGGGCAGGTCCACGTGCGAGCGCCCCGGCGACGCCACCGGCAGCATCGAGGAAGCGTGCTGCGAGCGTATCCGCCGAGGAGCGCCGCCCGCCGCAGTTGCGAGACGGGCCAAGGGGGCCCAAGAGAGCCGGGAGCGAGCCGGACCTCCACGGGCAGATGATCGTGGATGGAGGCTCGAGCTCGTCGGCTGGACCGGCGAGCGCGGCAGTGTCCGCCGGGCTGGTGCAGCCCGCGCCTAGCCCAGAGGGGGCTAGAGGAGGAGGCGACATGGAGGACTTGGCAGGGCCAGCTGCGCGGGCTGGCAGCTCCATGGACGTCGGCGCCTTTGACGAGGTCAAGGGCAAGGTCTACTGGGAGATCCTGGCGCTGGTGAGCGCCACGGACCTGATCGGCGACAACGCCATGTCGATCAAGGAGCTGAAGGAGGTGTCCGCGCTGTTGACCGAGATCAACGGGGTCGACCTCGCAGAGGTCTACTCGCCCGAGCGCTTCAAGGGTAAGGCGCTCGGCGTGGGCCTGACAGCAGGCCTCGCGGCGGACCTCTACACCGGCTGGGACTTGCTTCGCGAGGACCACCGCCGAGCAGCCATGAAGAAGCTGCTGGAGGACGACCCTCTCCTCACGGTGACCTCCCCGCCGTGCACGGTCTTCTCCAAGCTCAGGCAGCTCAGCAACTTCAAGCGGGACGAGGGCATCGTGGCTTCCGAGGTCCTCGAGGGCGAGACACACCTGGAGTTCTCCATGAAGGTGTGCGAGAGCAGGCATCAGCGAGGAGCACTTTTCCTGCACGAGCACCCCTGGGGCGCATCCTCCTGGTCGCGGCCGTGCGTCCAGAGGGTCAAGGAGTTGCCGGGCGTGTACTTGGTGCGCGGCCCGATGTGCCGCTGGGGCCTCCACTCTCGGGGGCCCGATGGGCGCGAGGCATTCGTGCGCAAGGAGACGGGCTGGCTGACGAACTCACAGGTCTTGGCCGGCATCCTTGCTGGGGAGTGCCGCTGCCCGTCCATCGGCGGCGAACCCTACCGGCACGTGCACTTGCTCGGTGACAAGAGGGCTCTAAGCCCACAGGTCACTTAGCATACTTTTTGGGGAACTAGGGTGAAAAGCGAACTTTTTAGGAAAAAAGGGAACTGCGCCATAAAAAGAGAACTACAAAAAGGCAAAAAGGTAAAAAGGTAACTTTTTACGCGTGCGGGTTGTCGGCGTTTTGCGTGACTGCGCAGGGTGGACTATCAAAAGTGCGCACATCTAGGAAAAGATGGCGTGGGCGCGCGACGCCCGCGGCCACTTCGGCAGCGCGATCGCGCCATTGCGCGCGGAACGACACCGCCTGCGCGCAGTCTCTTGTTTCGACGCGTGGCCGCGCAATGCGCGCCCGACGCGCGACGCGCATGCGTGGGGCGGTGGGCGACGAGAGAGGGTCGGCGGAGGCGCCGCAGATTTGGCCGTTCACTGGTAACTCTCGCGCGGCAGCTCCTGCTGTTTAACGGGCCAGGGCCGATCGGCGCGACGCGAGAAATCGGAGGGAGGGGGAGGAGCGACGAGGAATATGCCGAGGGAGGCGGTTCGCACTGTAGGGCGACATTCCCCCGCGCGGCGACGGGCTCTGATCGGGCGGAACGGCGGCGCGCTAGCATGTGCGGCGCGCCTGCGAGCGCCCGCAAAGTTCCCGAAACTTCCCGCAAACGTCCCGAACACTTCCCGCGAAGTTCCCGAACCTTCCCGCAAACATCCCGCAAACTTCCCGCAAACTTCCTGTAACATCCCGTGGATTTCCCGCACATTTCCCGCGTTGTTCCCTCGAGCGCGCCGTGATCTCCCGTTGGTTGGTTTGTAATGTTATTGTTGTGTTATGCTGTTCTGGCGTTGTGCCACAGCCGATGCGTGGCAGTATGGTGAGGCGGCGCGCGCGACGCCGCGATGTTGCGCAGCGTGCTTAGCCGTGAATGTTGCGACATTGTGCAGCGCATCTGGCGGGTGGCGAATGTTGCAAGATAGTGAAGCACGTTTTTATTTTGGGTCAGTATCACGCGGATACGTCGCACAACTTGCTTGCCTTCGCATGATATATATATATATATATATGTATATATACATATATATATATATGTTTGCATATATACACATAAATATATACATTTATCTTTATATGATGGTCAACGTCGTGCGTGGAATGAGTCCCGTGGTGTATGAGCGCGGAACCTCATACCATAACGGCGTACAGCGCTGCATCTTAACATTTCGTGGCATAGCGTTGCGGATTGTTTTTTGGGGGGCGGATCAGAAATTGCGTAGCAGTGGGCGCGGGTGGAGTCGAGCACAGCAGGGCATAGCATGGCATACCATCGCGATTAGTGTACTTCCATATTATCCGTCTTTCTCGCGTTGTGTATCTCTCGTTATCGCACACACTCTCTCTCACTCTCTGTCTATTTGTTAATTTCCTTCCATTGCCATCCGTTTCCCCCTCTGTACTCTCGACCCTTTTGAGATACGTGTATCTTCATGTCGTTCGATCGCTCGGTGGCTTTTTTTCTCCAGCTGCAGGCGCCTCCACCGTGCCTGGTCTTCGTTTGGCAGAGCCATGGGGTCGGCCTCCCGAGGGGGCGGATGGGTCGGACACGCTCGCGCCTGCACTCTCAGAATGCAGGGCCTGAGTTTCGAGCGTGCCCGAGAATCACGCCCCCCCCCCCCCTCGGAACCCTCGCCCATCGCCCTACCGCCTCGTGCGCGCAAGACCGATGCGTACATCTATCGCCGCCTGGCCCTAGGTGAACGGCCAGTGTTGCAACCAGGCCGTCTTGGGAGATGTGTTTTCATGAGTGTGCGTGCCCCCCCCTCCTAACCCTCCCTCCCTCCCCGTCCCCACCTCCACCTTGGTCTACAGCGCCACTTCCAATGCATTCCCTCCCCCCTCCCCCGTCATCTTCACCCCATTCCCACATCCTCCCTTCATCCTCACATTCACCCCCCATATCCTCGGCCAGTGGCGATCGCTGCATATTTTCGTACACCTCCCTGTGGAATAACGTAATCCCGTCCACCATTACATATGAAACCCCTGCCTCAATGGAATGGTCAATGTGGTACTCGTATTCTTGGTTCTGACCCGAGGGGCATCGCAAACGGGCCAGGCCACGGATGCTCGAGTAGCTAGATTTATGTGTGGATGTTGTTTGTTTGGTTGTGTTGTTGGTGTTGTTGTTGTTGTTGTTGCTGGTGTTGTTGGTATATATCGTTCTCTCTCTCTCTGTGGTTGTGCATGCCTGTATGCGTATCTCGCTCTATATATATATATATATATATATATATATCTCGAGCTCTAGTTCCCCATTTTCATATTCATATGCATCAGCTTGCCCCCTCCGTCTCTCATAGGTGCCTCTCCTACTTGGGCCCAGCTCGTACATCGGCCGACATTGGAACTCGTCACCACGTGGCCCATGGCCCTGCCACATGCAGCACCTGACAGGGCCATGGGCCACGTGGCAGAATAACCTGAGCGTCGTCTCTGGACGGGGCTCGAACGGCGGCCTCGATTGGCCCACGTTGCCGTAACCCCTCGACCCCGCACGGCCACAGAGACGGGACCCATGGGGGAGCAGGGTGCGGAATGACGCGGTCGGCGTGGGGGACATAGAAGGGTTGGGGAGTGGCGTGCGGCGAAGAGAGCCTTGGGTCAACTTGCCGCAAGTCGCAACAGTCCGCGTCGCACCAACCAGCGTCGAGCCAGTTTGCTCAACTGGTGCATGTGCGGCCAAACGCCGCTTCAACAAAGGGCACGTGTGAAACTAATGCGGCCTAGCGCCGCTCCAGTGGAAGAGGGTGGGAAGGATGAGGTTGATGACGGGGAGGATGAGGAGACGCAGGGGAAGGTTGATGAGAGACGGCCTACGGATTCATGGTGTTGGGACGTGTGTGTAGATGTGGTCGTATAGTCGGGTGCCATGGTTTCAGGGCGGGATACAGGCACATGTCCAGACACATGCATATGCAATGCAATGCAGTGTTGGTCGGATGTCGTGTACACACATATCGTATATTATCACATGTGTTTTGTGTACACAAGCCCGCATGCATGTTTGCACACCTAGTGCACCAGCCACCACGCACAATAGGAGTTACGACAGTACGGCGTGTCATGGTACCCATGTCTCATTACTACATACATTTGGAATACAAGCCCGCTGTCTCGGCACGCGTGTTCGCTAACACGTCCACTCATGCGCGAAGCGCAATCCACATTCACACTGCTGCAAACGGGTGCCCCTTGCAAACAAGCGGAAGCAATCGAATTCTATCGAATATCGACCTTTCCCAGGTCGATCGGTGAGACGAGGCTGCCACGCCTGCCAGAATCAGATTCAACGATTCGTCATGGAATGTAGAATAATATTTTGGATTGCCGCACAATGGTATGCGGAGTGTCATGTGCACAAACAAATGACATTTTGGTATGTCGCCAACACCAGCGTCCTGCATGAGTGTGAGATGACGCACGCACAGGTCAAGCAAACGCTGGCATACATTGTGTGAGACGGTTTGGGGTGATGCCCGTAAAATGTTCATATATTCCAAAAGCGCTCTACCTGCTGTCCACAAAATCGGGCCCGTGTCGAACTTGTGCTTTTCTGTTTCGCAAAACCGAACCGCCCATTTCAGCAGCACGCCAGTTTCAGCAGCCTTCGTCTTCAATAAGATTGAATCGGGCCCCCCAATCATTCCAACAGTAAGGGTGCTCCATTGAGCGTTCAATGGGATCTCGCCATGTTGGCTGCACCATGTTTTGTAATTATTGAACATTAACTTCAACGCTTCTTCCTTTAACCCATCGCTACCGCAACCCAGGCCCCAGATGTTGGCGTTGATAGCGCCCCACAACGTTGCATGAACAAATCGTGAGCACACCCCTAAGTATACAGTGTGCAAGGTGTCGATGTGCAACGTTACTTCTGGACTAGTTCCAATGTCACGCGAAAACAATGGATTTCGATGATGCGTTCTATCCCCAAGACGCCCCCTGTTGTCTTTGTTTTTTCTCCAGAAAATACATACAAATGGGGTTGGAATCTCCTCGAACGCACCCGTGTCTGGAACGTCGTCAGACGGTTCCAACCTGTCAAATCGTTTCAGTCCCAGCGCTGGCACATCGCACGCCAAATACCGACCTTGCACCGAACGATTCCTGTCGAACTGCAAACCACCAATGTCCAGCAGAAGACCCCGCACGCGATCATCTGTCACGTTGATCGTTATCTCGCAGCGCTCACACGCGCCATCATAACTGATCTGAGGCTCGCCCCACGCACTATCATACAAACATACACCGTCGTATTCGCAGAGGCTGTCTTTGGTTGCTGCACACCAGATGCAAGGGTGATGGTGAGACGACCACGTTGGCATCCCCAGGGTCTGCGTGAACTCAGCCCAATCGCCTTTGATCTGGCATAGCAAAAATCTAGCTGTCATGCGTGGGCAAGCGTCAAACAACTCTTTGCTCTTACACTCGTTCGGCCATGGCGCCTTATCCCAGCGGAGCATCGGGCGTAGACCGACAACTGCGGCAGCCAATGACCAGTGAATGTATGCGAAAATGGGCCGATATGTACACCAGCCCCTGCACCCGCAATGGCACACCTGCTGCTTGGAGACAACGGCCACAAGGTGTCTCTTAAGCGTCCGTAGGTTGAATACTGTTATCCCAAGCACCGTATCACTTCTCCCAGGGCCGATCGCACGAGTGTACTTCACGCCATCGAGGTACAATGCGATCGGAAACGTTCGCCGACCATCGCCATCGATGACACGGAACGGGTGGTTCCGATATACTCCCGACCATTCTTCTGGCGGTGGAAACGGTATCCCCGCTGGTGTCTCGTCGATCTTCACCACTTCGGCATTCAACACCTCGTGCGGTGGCGAAACCACAATTTGTTTAATTTCCCTCCGACCGCGCCGATAAACTGGCACTGACAGATGGTGGTACTCAGGTGCTGCTTCAGATTCAGGGAGAACCGACCGAAGGTGCTGAGCAAACTTTCCTGTCTGAGCGGTTGGCGGGTGGGCGTATTGCGAAATGTCCCCTCCTGTCACACCTGCTTGCGTTGCAAAATGGCACGTCAAACAGAAAGCTTTCGCATCCAGCGCCCCACTTGCGTATTGTGAAAGCAGATGCTCCTCCAACGCAAGAGCTCCGTGCTGGCTGCCCTCTGTCTGGCCGCGCTCCCACTCGCGAAGCTCCCAAGCTCGCGAGCGAACAACACTCGCTGTAAACCTGCTGCGCCTCCGCTTGCGAAACGCTACCATATGAGCTAAATGGCTACGGAAACAAGGGCCAGGGTGTTGTCATTTGTTTTGGGGTTTGCCCCTTTTGCTCAGACCAGTATGATATAGGGGGAGCTCGACAATTCGGGGTGGGGGGGGGCTCTCCTGCCATCATCAGCTTGTCAAGCTGGCGATCCGTGGTGAGGATCATACTTGTTGTGTTGATGCGTTGTTGCTGTTGTTGCGGCTGTTGTCGTTGTGGTTGTTGTTGTTTCTTTGTTGTTGTTGTTGTTGGTGGTGGTGTTGTTGTTGTTGTTCTTGTTGTTGTTGATGTGGTTGTTGTTGTTGTTGTTGTTGTTGATGTTGTTGTTGTTGTTGTTGTTGTGGGCGGTGGTGTTGTTTGTTGCCGTCGCCCCACCTGCGACCCACCCCGCGACCCACCCCGCGACCCACACCGCGACCCAACCCGCGACCCACCCCGCGACACACCTTGCGACCCACCCCGCGACCCATCCGCGACCCACCCCGCGACCCACCCGCGACCCACCCGCGACCCACCCACGACCCACCCCACGACCCACCCCGCGACCCACCCGCGACCCACCCCGCGACCCACCCGCGACCCACTTGCGACCCACCCGCGACCCACCCGTGACCCACCCGCGACCTACCCCGCGACCCACCTGCGACCCACCCGCGACCCATCTGCGACCCAACAGCAACCCAGCTGCGACCCATTTGCGACCCATCCGCGGCACACTCGCTACTTACCCACATTGGTTTAACGAAAAAATCGGCACCTGCGACGGGCTCGTTGCATAATGTGTGAGACTTGGGCGCCTGCGGCGGTTGTCTCCAGAGTATCGCAGACTGCCGACGTCCCCGCCGAGCCCTCACTCTCATCCGCATCTGCGGAGTCCGACGTACATTTTACACACATGCGCATCTGCCAGTTTGCCCCGACCACGACGAGGATGACGACGACGTCGACCACGATGACTAGGACGAGGACGAGGACAACGACGACGACGACAACGACGACGACGACAGTGACGATTCAGGTGCGTTAGTAGCTAACGTAATCTAGGAGTATTTAGGGGTTGCCCTGGCACGTCGCAAATATTTAAATCGTACATGCTGCGACTATTCCACACACTGATTATGGCTGAGCCTCGGGTCTCCACTCGTGCGATCCTGCACCCCTCCCCCGTGCAGCAGACGTTCGAGGCTTGGTGTGGCGAGGCGCGGTCACGTCTGGCACTAAACGCCAACTGTGATGGCAATCTTGGGCGTCGGAGGTCGGAGGCGAGGTCCGAAGGCGAGATGGGGGGAAGCGACTGGGGAACTAGTAAAAGGAAAAAGGGGGGTAATGATATGAGGGGATGAGCACGCGTAGGAACGCAGGGACGGGGAGTAAGGCGTGTAGAAATTGGAAACTGGCTCGCATTACTCTTCCGTGGCGGTGATGAGCTGTGGTCAAGGTGATGCAATCTGCCAGAAGAACTCCGAGCTTTGTGAGCACGTCCCACGAGATCACACGATAGCTGCCCGCTCGTCACCCACAATGTGTCCAGAACTGCGCGTCGAGCATACTCGCGGGCGCACACATCCACAAGTTGCATTAGCACTGTCTGGGGAAATCCAAAAAGATGATTTTTTTCTAGCCGTCGTGACCCCAAACCTTCACCGTCCAGCAAACTTCCCGAAACTTCCCGAAACTTCCCGCAAACTTCCCGCAAACTTCCCGTCGGCGGCTCGGAAACGCACACATCTGAAAGTTCCCGAAACTTCCCGGAAACTTCCCGGAAACTTCCCGGTAATATCCCGGCCAAAATTGTGAGGATGTATTGGACGGGAGCCCTAGTTTCCCGAAACTTCCCGGAAACTTCCCGGAAACTTCCCGGAAACATCCCTGGGTATTTCTGCGTGCTGTTTCCGTCCACGCGGGGTCAAATCAGGCTGCGATTCGCGCAGCTTGACCGAAATGCGGGCGCCAACTATGCAACTGATCGAGCAATGCCCTCACTGCCTTGACATTTTGCTCCCCTAGCACCAGACAAACGTTCCAGCAACGAACTCCTGGCCTGGCAGATTGGCACACTGCCGTCATCTCAGACAACAGTGCTGCATTAACCAGGCGACTGCGCAAAAACACAACCTTGAGACGTGTGCACGTGCGCTTCCCTGTCACAAGTTACCTCGAAACCTCTCTAACAGAAGTTACACAGCAACTCATTTTCCAAAAGGTTGCTGTCGTTCGTACACCCCGACCCCCATCAGCTAGTCGGAGTCGGAGTAGGCCGTGTCCCTGATGCGCTTGCTCTGGGACTCGAGCTCATCCAGCGCAGATGTCATCTGGTTGTACTTGTTCATCTCCGAGTGGAAGTCCACGCCGTCGCCGAACGCGAGCGTGGAGCCCACTGACACTGCGCTCTTGATCTCCTCGTACTGGTTCACGACCTTGTCCACCTGATCAATCGAGCGCTTGAGCTTGCCGCGGAACTTCTCCGACCGAGCCCAGTCCATGGATGGTTGCGTGTCGATCCTCTCGAGCAGATTCCTCGCGACGTTCATCGCCATGCCGTAGCGCAGGGTGACGTCTGTGGCGTGCTTGGCCAGCGACTTGGCGGTGGGTGGCGGCGAAGCCTTGGCGGCCTTGCTCTTGCCCGTCGGCTGTGCCTTGCCTTTGGCCTTGGCCTTGCCGTTGTGAGGCTTGGCCTTGCCCTTGGCTGTGACTGGAGTCGGCGTATCCACAGCTGTGCAGGGCCCTGGTGCAGGCGTCGGTGCAGGCGTCGGTGCAGGCGTCGGTGCAGGCGTCGGTGCGCCGCTCCCGCTGCTCCCGCTTCCACGCGCCATGTTCCGCTCCTCCTCATGAGAAGCCCACTCGTCACGTGTGCCATGGCGCTCCTCGTCGATGCGCTTCTTGAACTCGATCCGATTCGAGTCGGAGTTGATCCTCACGAACCTGGGCCCCTTCTTCATCGCGTTGAGCGCGATGCTCCTGCATCCTGCCATCACAGCTCGGCTCGGGAACGCACCGCCTCCTTGCCCCTGGACGAGCATGTCGAAGTTGAACCAGCGGTAGATGGCCTGCTCGCTCTTGATGGTCTTCTGCACCCTCGTGTGGTAGTCCTCGGGGATGCAGTTTGGAATGCGCAATTGTGTCCCGTCGCCGCCCTCCTCCTCAAACTCATCCTCTTCCTCCTACACCTCCTCCTCCTCCTCCTCCTCCTCCTCGTCTTACTCATTATACTCTTCTTCCTTATCCTCCTCAGCCTCATCCTCATCACCGTCGTCCTCCTCATCCTCATCATTCTCCAGTTGGACTGTGATTGTAGTTATGACCCCATCTCCGTGTAGGTGTCGTACTTCTTCATCGCCCACTGAGACCGCCGCGATGCCTTCTCGTCGCGGTCGAGAGCGTCGTACCGCTGCTTCTCCTCACTGTTGTTCAGGAGCCATAGGTAGAAGCGCTTGTACATTGGCGTGCCTGACTCCACTCGAAAGCCCTCGCCAGCGATCGTCTCGAGGACTGGGTCACGTTCATCTTCGAGCTTCTGCCTCAGCGCCGCCATCTCAGCAGACTCAACTGCATCATCTGGTGCATCAGGCGTCGTGCCCTCGGCGGGCTGCGAGGCCATCATCAGCCTGAACGCCTGGGTGAGCTCCGTCTCAGTGCACAGCAGGTCGGTCTGCACGGAGCAGTGCATGGGGTTGGCGGCGGTGCCCATGTTAGCCTGGACGACACAAGCAGGCGAACCAGGAAGGCGATACATGGAAGAATAGTGGGAACATTAATTAATAATTGCACGCCACATGGCCTGCATGACGGGCCGCATGCGCGCCGTCTCCGCGCACTCGACCTCCAGCGCCTTCGCCATCCCCTCGAACTTGGTGCCGATCAGCTCGTTGAACTCGATACCCTCGCCCGTGGCCTGTCGGCGGATGGTAGTGGGGCAATGAGGCGTCGGGCCACCCCCATCTCATCCTCCCCAACCGAGTGGGGGTGGGAATGAACTGGGAACACCGATGCGAACATAACGAGGTGGGTCAACGGGGGGGGGTTGGCCAGCATGATAGGACGAAGTTGGTGTGTGCGGGGGGGGGGTTCAGCATAATGCGAAAGCAATGCAATGTTCTGTTAGTTTTTTTCTGGGCGCGCCGTAACCTGAACGGTCCATGTTTGACAAACGTCTGGCAGCTTCCTTCGAGCTAGCCTTCGCACGATCGTGAGCGCTTCCCGAAACTTCCCGAAACTTCCCGAAACTTCCCGGAACTTCCCGAAATTTCCCGAAACCATCCCGTGAATGTCCCGTGGGACCCCCGTGGACTCATCGCAAACATGGCGCGGGTTTCCTCAGACGTCCTTCAGACCCCCTGTGCGCCCACAGCCCGATCTTTGCGGATGTGAGTTGCCGATGCCATACGTATATACACCAGGCTATTAATCGAACATGGGCGGTGCCTCAATGGTCGGCCTCAGGGGTGGGCTCTCCTCTACAACTGCACCCGCCTTCCAGCGAGGCGGCGTGGTGCGATTGCCGTCGGGAACCTTGCCGTCGAGCACCACGTGGTCCGCGCCGATGGCGCCGTCGCTGGGCGCGGCCGCTGACGAGCTGCCGCCAGCTGGCGTAGGCGAACTGGCCGATGCTGGCCTCTTCACGACCTTGGACTTCATCATCTTCATGTAGTTGTACTTGATCTTCTCCTTGTTCTCGTGCACCTGCTCCCTCGTCAGCACGCCGTCGCAGTAGCGCTTCGCCAAGTCGTTCGCCCACGTAGCAGCGTAGAGCTCTCCAAGTCCTTCAGCTCTGAGGGGGGCTGACCTGCCTCCTGCCACCACTGGGTGTCACCCTGCGTGAGCTGGTCCTGACCGTGGACGCGGACGGCGATTAGCCTCTGCTCGGGCTTCCCTTTGGGCCTGTTCGAGCGGAAGAAGCACCACACTCTGTTGCCATCCTTGTCCACGCCGTCGTACAGGTCGATGCCGTTCGGGTTCGACGTCTTGCTGGGGATGGTCTTGACACCTGTCGCATCGTGACCATCAGGGGCCTTGACAACTCCGTGGATCGCGTCCCACCTCTTCACTGTCATCTGCGGAACCCCCCTCCTCATGCCATCAGCCCACACCGCGATGACCGCATCCTCGGGATTGGCACCGTGTGGTCGTTCAGTTCGAATTGCCATCTCTGGTGGCGTGCTGGTCGGAGCAGTCGTGGGCTTCCTTGCAGCGAGCCGTGATTCCTTGTCCCAGCTGAACATGTAGGCCGTCTCGTGATCGCCATCGAACGTGGCGCTGGGCTTCTTCATGAGGGCGGCGTCGGAGCTGGCGGGCTTGCCCACGACCACGTCGTTGGCAGCTGGCTTGCCTCTCCGTGCCTTCTTCGCGACTGGTGGCTCCTCGTCCTCGTCGTCCTCGTCGGGTTCGCACACGGGCTCCTCCTCTTCTCCTTCTTCATCATTGTCGTTGTCCTCGCCAGCACCACCTCCGCGGTCACCAAATAGAGCAACGAACCATTGTGGTGGGGAAGCCCGTCCGCGATACACAGCGATGTGCCTGCACGTGGTTCGGAACCGTCGGCCTGTCGTCTCACTCCATTCGGTCAGCTCCGCAGCGTCTCGGAACGATATGTGGTTGGTCTCGGCAACGCTGCGCAGCGACGGCTCCACGTCGCTCTTGTTGAAGTGCAGGTCGTCACTGAACTCCTCTGCAGAGCTGCGATAAAAACGCATTGTGTTAGTGTTACCCCCCATGTGACCACATTAATGAACGCGATGACGGGTGGAGATCATCGCGGCGAAAATGATATGGACTAACGAGACGATAATGGTTGCATTGATGTTGGCGATGACGATGCTGACGATGATGATGAGGCTCAGCATGATGGTGATATTGATGTTGATGTCATTGGATATGTGTGGGGGGGGGGCTGGTGCACAATTAGAGGGGGGGCTATGACGGGAACGTTTGAATCGCAGTGTCCGTCAGCAGCGCATTGAACAGCGGAGCCTGCTCTCGAATCTGTCGCTTGTCGATCTGCGATTGCTTGATGTTCTCACCGTATGTGATCCACGTGGCTTTTCTCACGAACTTGGAAAAGATGCTCGTGAGCTGCTGACGTTTGATATCAGACATGCTGCTCGTGTGCAGCCATCGCACTCGGACCGAACAGCTACGTACATAGGGTTATGACGTAGGTGGTCAGGCCAGGGCGGTGCACGAGACGGACGGTGACGGCTCTGACGACGAACCACAAAGAATGCGAAGACGGGCAGGAGGAGGAGGAGGAGGATGCGAAGTACGGGGGCGAGGAGGAGGAGGAGGAGGAGGAGGAGGAGGATATGAGGAGGCGGATGAGGAGGAGGAAACTAATGAGGAGGAGGATGCGAAGGAGCAAGAGGAAGACGGCCCATGGAACCATTACACGCAACACCCCAAAATTGCGGATACGGGCGAGGGTGACGTCGGCAGTCCGCGAGATTCTGGAGAAGCCCGCCGCAGGCGCCAAACTTTCACAACATATACAACGAGCGATCACTAGGCGCACATTTGTTCGTTAAAAAATGTGGGTAGGTCGCGGGTGGGTCGCACATGTGTCGCGGGTGGGTCGTTGTTGGGTCGCGGGTGGGTCGCGGGTGGGCCGCGGGCGGGTCGCAGGGATTTTCACGGGTGGGTGGGTGGGTAGCGGGTGGGTCGCGGGTGGGTCGCGGGGTGGGTCGCGGGGCGGTCGCGGGGTGGGTCGCGGGGCGGTCGCGGGGTGGGTCGCGGGTGGGTCGCGGGGTGTGTCGCAGGTGGGTCGCGGGGTGGGTCGGGGCGGGTCGCGGGGCGGGTCGCGGGGTGGGTCGCGGGGCGGGTCGCGGGGCGGGTCGCCCGTGTGACGACGACAACACACAACACCAGCCTAACACCGCAACAAGCAGAATCCACACCACGGATCCCCATTCCAGCTACGAGCCCACGGACAATGAATGGCCGTTCGGCCTTCTCATCCTGACTACTACCACTGCCACTACCACTACCACCACCACTGCAGCTACGATGAACACTAACAATGTCACACAGTAGCAGAGGTAGTAGCGAACACTAGTGGCCGTGGCCTTGGCAGGACTAGTGGTCGTGGTAGTGGCAGTAGTAGTTGCAGGTGCGTAGTATCAGTCTACTGATATACCCTTGTACCCGCTTCGGGCCTGCCGATCGGGATCTGCGGCGGCCACTGAATGGTCGCCGTGCTCAACTAGTGCAGCAGCTGACCGCCTGAAGTCCTGGTCTCACCAACGTGCCATGCCCATTCTCATCCTCCACCGCACCTCGGAATTCCGTTCACCTCCCACCCGTTGATCGGCTCTTTGTTATGGCTTCGTGATTTGGCGGTGGGAGTTTCACGTTCGAACGCGGCCTGATCCAACGCGACAGGGCTGTGGATCAGGGCGCGCTCGAACGTGGAATTCCCGCCGCCAAGTCACACATGCGCGCGAATGGGCCGAGCAACGGGCTGAAGGCGAACGGAATTCCGATGATTGTCGACGTGGAGGGGGCGGGGAGGGAACAGTGCAGGACGAGGAGGGGGAGGGGGGGCGACCGACGATGTAAGTGGGTGGGTTGGGCACAGACGGGCCAGTATGTTTTTTCTCCATCCCCCCATGCATCATTCAATGTCTCCCATTGGATCCTCCTCGATCTGTGAAGCGGTCGGCGGCGGCAGCGCGTCTGGGAGCGAGGGGACGGTCTGGGAGTCTCGAGCGGTCAGCTGCGCGGACTCGGTGACGTCGGCCCGCTCGGCGGCCGCGGCGGCCGCCGCAGCGGGCGCCGCAGCGGGCGCGGAGGGCTCCTGGAGGGGCGCCTCGTCGGACGAGATGGTCTCATGATCAGCGGGCTCGGCAACCTCTGGAGGCAACCAAACTCAAACACTCGGGACCATCGTGGGGGAACCTGGGGCCATTGATTTTGAATCGCACCTGTTGGTGCGGAGCGTCAGCCACGGACTGCGTAAATGGGGCCCACCGCGCAGGCAGCGTTCGTTGACCCTTCTCCGTCGGTGTCGGACTCCTCTGGTCCATCTTGAGCTGTTTCTGTTAGCCGTGTTTTAGGGATGAGGAATGAGCAGCGTTTCTGTTAGCCGTGTTTATGTTAGCCATGTTTCTGTTAGCAGTGTTTCTGTTAGCCGTGTTTTTGTTAGCCGTGTTATAGGAATCAACAGGGCTCAGGGAATTGCAAACGGTGTCCTGGGAGCTCGGAGCTGGTTGCGACATGCCTCCAGCTGCGCGTGGACGCGTCCGAGGGTCGGGGATCGCCTGGGCGATGGGGCTTCGAACCAGAGCGGCGGCGCCAGCAGAGGGGGAGCCGCTCCAGTAGACAGGTATGGAAGACTATGGATAGGGAGAACGGATGGGGAGGAAAAGAGGGCGGCGGTGTGGATGGAGAAGATTTGGGCATTCCTGGAAACCTTTGTCTGGATTCCTATACATCCCGCGGACATCCCGAATCTTCCCGAAACTTCCCGAAAGTTCCCGAAAACTTCCCGCAATCTTCCCGCAATCTTCCCGCGATCTTCCCGAAACTTCCCGAAACTTCCCGAGCACTTCCCGCAAACTTCCCGCAAACTTCCCGCAAACTTCCCGCAAACTTCCCGAAACTTCCCGAAAACTTCCCACAAACTTCCCGCAAACTTCCCGCAAACTTCCCGCAAACTTCCCGCAAACGTCCCGTAAGCGTCCCGCGACCTGCCCGCGACCCGCCCTCCTGCACATTCTATCGTTATCTGTAGACATGCAACGACACTGACCAATATAGAAAAGGTGAAAAGGTGAAAAGGTGAAAAGGTAACTGAAAAAAGGTGAAAAGGTGAAAAGCGAACTTGCGGGTAAAAAGGTAACAAAATACTAGTTACCCAAAAAGTGTGCTAAGTGACCTGTGGGAGGGCGCAGGTGTACCCACCCCGCCTGGTCAGAGCCATCCTTCGCGGCCTCAGGGAGGAACTTCGAGCTCGAGAATCGCTGTCTGACCTGGCGGGCTTCACCGCCGGGCCCTCGCCGCACGCCGAGGACATGGACCAGGAGGCGGAGGCGTTCGTGGACGACGTCCGCGGGGGCTTCCTCGACCCGCTGAAGGTGAAGGAGGCCAGGGCTGAGGAGCTGGAGTGGCGCCGTAGCCGCGGAGTGTGGAAGAAGGTTCCACGCCGCGAGATGGAGGCGGAGGGAGGTCGCGCCATCGACACGCGGTGGATTGACACCAACAAGGGGGACCTCGAGCGACCGCTGTATCGCTCGAGGCTCGTGGCACGGGAGATGAAGGTCCGCCGGCGCGCCGAGGGGCTGCTGCCGCCGCAGCAGGACCTCTTTTCGGGGACGCCGCCGCTGGAGGCGTTCAAGGCGCTGGTCAGCCTTTTCCTCAGCAGGGCGTTCGAGCAGTTCCAGAGCTCGGAGCCCCGCGAGGTGCTGTACAAGTTCTACGACGTGTCGCATGCCCACTTCTACGGGCACGTGCAGAGGCGCCTCTGGGTGGAGCTTCCACCCGAGGAGCGTCAGGGCGAGGAGGAGCCGCTCGTCGGGCTTCTCCTTCGCACGATGTACGGCACGATGGATGCGAGCCAGGTCTGGCAGGGAGACTACGTCGAGCTGCTCAAGTCCGTCGAGTTCCTGCAGGGGAAGTCGAGCCCCGCCATCCTGTGGCACCCAGGGCGTGACATTGCCCTCGAGGTGCATGGCGACGACTTCGGCGTGCTGATGTATGCAGACGACGAGGCCTGGTTCGACGAGTTGCTGAAGAAGTATGACTACAAGGTCACGGGCCGCCTCTCCTCGGCGGCCGAAGGGGTCCAGAGCACGGTCTACCTGAACCGCGTGCTCATCTGGGATCCCGCCGCAGGCGAAGCACGTATCGAGTCTGACGTCCGTCACGTCGACATGATCCTTCGAGACCTGCACCTGTGCGACGCCAAGCCGGTGCAGACGCCTGCGGTCAAGAAGAGCGTGACCGAGATGATAGAAGCCTCGCAGTCCCAGACGCTCGACGACGCACAGTCCAAGCTCTACCGCTCGCTGGTCATGCGCGCCAGCTACATCGGGCAGGACAGGCCGGACCTCAGCTACATAGCGTCTTCTCTGGCCAAGTCGATGAAGACGCCACGCGAGTCGGACATGATAGACTTGAAGCGCCTGGGACGATATCTCAAGCAGGCCAGGGCCGGCTCGCTGGTGTTCAAGCTGCAGGAGGTCCCCACGCGCATCGAGATCTTTGTAGACGCTGACTGGGCTGGCGAGGCTACCACCAGGAAGTCGCGCAGTGGCATGATGCTCACGCTCGGCTCCCATCTCGTGAAGCACGCTTCCACTCAGCAGACCACGGTCGCGCTGTCTTCAGGGGAGTCCGAGTACTATGCGATGCTGAAGGGTGCGAGCCACGCTCTGGGGCTTCAGTCAATGCTCCACGACTTCGGCTTGCAGCATCTAGAGAGGCCACTACTGCGCAGTGACAGCGTGGCGGCCGAGGGCATCGCCACGCGGCAAGGCCTTGGCGCTGTCCGCCATATAGACACGAGGTTCTTGTGGCTGCAGGACCAGGTCAAGGCAGGCAAAGTGGAGATCAAGCATGTGCCGGGACTCCAGAACCCGGCCGATGCGTTCACAAAGGCGCTGGACCAGACACATCTGAGGCGGCATTTTGAGGCTATGGGCTTTAAGGTGCGCGACGAGGGCAGCCGGCTCCATCGCACTCTCTAGGGTGTATGGCGCCGGGCAGATGCATGAGTTTTCTTTTCTTCCCTTTTCTTTTCCACGGACCTAGAGGTCCCGCACTGATGCGGGAGATGCGGACGACGTGCATTGAGAGTGGTCGGCCGTGCACGGACCTGGCGGGCGAGAGGCCTGCAGGCATGCGCGGCCTTGGCGCCGCGGGAGTGGAGCTTTGGCCCGCTGTCCGCTGCGTCCGAGAGGGGGTGTTTCCCTTCACGTGCACAATCGGTGGTATCTGTTCTTATCGATATCGTTTGACGTCCGCAGCTCATTTGTGTCAAAGGAGCGTTGCACCTCCTCCTCCTCCTCCTCCTCCTCCCCCTCCTCCTCCCTCTCCTCCTCCTCCCTCCTCCTCCTCCTCCTCCTCCTCCTCCTCCTCCTCCTCCTCCTCCTCCTCCTCCTCCCTCCTCCTCCTCCTCCTCCCCCTCCTCTTCCTGCTCCTTGTCCTCCTCCTCCTCTTCATCCTCCTCCTCCTCTTCCCCTTCCTCCTCCTCCTCCTCCTCTCCCTCCTCCTCCTCCTCCTCCTCCTCCGCCTCCTCCTCCTCCTCCTCATCCTCTCTCTCCTCCTACGCCTCCTTCTCGTCTTCCTGCTCCTCCTCACCCGCTCGCTCCTCACTCCTATTCCTTCTTGCTTACTCCCTGCTCATCCGTTCTCCCCGCTCGCGCCGTCCTCTTGCGCGGTGCTGTTTGAGCAGTGGCGGGAGGATTGCTAGCAGTGGCGGCGACCGTGAATGCAGTCATTCTAGACGCTTCGTGTGACCTCACCAGCCCATCCAGAAACGATGCCCATATGAGTTGCCCTGATCGGGGAGATGTGGAGGAGAACGCAGGGGACGCTCCAACGTCTCGCAACCCCTCCCTCCAAAGCCAGGAGTGGGGGGTAGGGGGAGGAGCGAACCCCTCCCCGAAGAGGAAGATAAGGGGTTGGAAGACGAAGCTCGCTGAACCACTCCCGCCCGAAAGGGCGGGTGGGATTCGGCGCACTGTGCCTTCCTGGACGGCGGTGGCTTGCGGCCTCGCTTTCTCTCACGCGGGGTCAGTCTGCGATTCTATGCGCGCCGTGGTGCGGTGTCGTCGCGGTGCGGTGTCGTCGTCTGCCGTGCCGTGCCACGCTTTGCCCGAAGACTTTGCGTCGCCCCGAGAGTCATGTCTGGCTTCGGGCAGGTGCCGTGCCGCGGAGCCGTGCCATCCTGTGCGGGTTGGTTGTTTTCGCTGGCCTGGCGGTTCCGATCGGCCCAGGCGGGGTGCAGACGCCAGCCAGGCACCCTGGCCCGGGCGGCCGAGCTTCGCCCAGCAGCCGGCGCGGTCGGTCCCCCTCGCCCGCCCTGATGTGGGTTTGTTGGGGGCGCGAGCTGGCTGGGCGACGCCTCTGGGAGGTGTTCGTCCCCACATGGCCCGCCCAGCAGCGCCACAGCATACTCGTTTGCCATCCTTGGGCGCGCAGTCACGCCCCAGAGCCACGGGGGACCAGTCGTCCTCGTCCTCCTCCATCTTGCTCCGTTCTTCCTACTGTTCCTGCGTCCCCTCCTGTCTCCTCAACCTCAGTTCCCTCATTATCGCATTATTGTTGTCTTCCCCCTGGTCATCTTCACCCGTCTTCCTCACTCCTCCCATGTTGTGGTCTCCCTTCATTGCCTCCCGCCCCCTCTCGTCCTCCTCGTCTTCCTCCTCCTCCGCCTTCTCCTCCTCCTCCTCCTCCTCCTCCTCCTCCTCCTCCTCCTCCTCCTCCTCCTCCTCCTCCTCCTCCTCCTCCTCTTTCTCCTCCTCCTCCCCCTCCTCCTCTTCCTCTTCCCCCTCCTCCCGGTCTGGCCGCACGTGCGGCTGATGGTGCGGGGAGGCGGCGGCGAGGGAAAGACGAGCACGATTGGCGCGATGTCCGGGAAGACCTTCGAGGCGACCCAGAAGAGCACCGTCGGCGCCGGCACGCTGGACGTCGAGCTCCGGCACGAGGACCTCGAGGTCTCGCCGTGAGGGAAGGCCAGACCTCCCCGGAGATCCTGGCGTCTCCACTCTTCCGAGCCTGGCGCCTTCGCCTGCTTTCGGGCTGCGTGGCCCTCGCAGACCGAGCCAGCTCGAGAATTGCGATTGTTTCAATTTGTCGCGCCGTCGGATCTCAGGGGCAACCCAGACTTGCAGCGTGCTGCCAGAGTCAAGACGGCGGCCTTTCGTAGCTCTCGGCCTCTGGGTGCCTTCGCCGGGCCCCGGGCCCCAGGACCGCAACAAAAAAACAACTCACGAGAGAAGCAGCTGGCTCTGGGAGGCGTGTCGGGACTTCCGGGGACAGCGTCTTGAAAAGAGGGTCCTGGGGGAGACGAGCTCGGACAGTGCGGGCTATCAGACTGGGAGGATTCACTCCAGAGCGTCAGGGGCGGCTTCACCGACCACCGACCCCTAGCACACCATCCCCTTCTGTGACGCCCCCCTCGCCGCGTCCCAAGGCGTATGTGTGCGGCCAGGGGAAAGCTTGAGAGGCGATGGGGACGTCGCGGAATGGGATGGTTTGCCAGGGGGTCGGTTAT